TTTCTCAAGCAGTTCGCAGGGTGTAGACCTGTCTGGACCGGCTCGAACCTTTTGACAAAAATTCGAACTCAAAGGCCCTCGCGCTGTTTTCTGGCACGCTGGGAAGGTCGAGGAAGAAGTGGGAGGCTCGGCAGCGGCGGCGACGGCGACGGCGAGAAGGTACTTTGTACGCGTCGGCCCCGTGGCCCAGAGGCGGGCCCCCCCAGAGGGCGGACCGAGAGGCAACCGGCGACCAGGCAGAGGTGTCGCCGTCCCCTGGAGTAAATGAACGGCGCTAGTGCGAGCTCGCGGGCCCGCGACGTTACTTCCTATTCCATCGTCCCTCCCCCAGTCCCTCTCCCTCTCCCACCTCCCTTCGCCCTCCTCTCAGGGTCAACCGCGGTCTGGCCGATCCGATCCGATATCCTCTCCGGCAGGCCCGATCCTGTCCGACTTCGATGCTCCCGCCGATGCTTGCATGACGCTGCTGCGCTTCTTGTCGCGGCCGATCCGGATCGGTTTCGACTTCGTGCCGGTGCTGCCCAATCCGATCGCACATTCCAAGTCGACACGATTCCCCGATTCGATGTTGATTGATCTTGCCCTTTCCCCTCCCCCCTTTGCACTTGGGAGGACGAATGCTCGTACAAGTTGCCGGCTGTCTTGATAAGAGTCACAAGCGTCCTTGCACTGTTTGTCCAAGCGTTGAGAGCGGGTGGGGTGCTGACACTAGTAATGATCCTACGCGTAAGCCCCAAGCCTAGCGATTCGGTAGGGCCGACTGTAAGCCTAGCAAGTATTGAGCGCTGCACGTACTCCATGTGGTACTGTGAAGCCAAGGGGCTTACGCTCCTTCCCCCAAAGCGCATGTTTGCAAGGATTCCAGCGATCTACTTCAGGGGTGGACAGAACCCCCAACAGTGACACGTCGATTAGTGAATTGTCCGTTTTCAGTTCTCGAGAGGGCGCCGTGGCCGTTATTTTCCAGGCCTGCGCCCGCCAGGTTTGGGCCTCAGGTCGTTTTCACTAAACCACGTTTTACTAAAGGGGGGTCTGTCCATCCCCGACTACCAGTACGTGGATCGCCCGATCCGAGGTCGGTGGGGTGGCATGGCCTCCCACTGCCACCCATGGCCTCCCGTTGCCTCCAGCTTGGGCGGCCGGATCCGGAGTCGGTGGGGAGGCGCGGCTTCCCTCGGGGGTGGACAGAACCCCGAGTAGTGACACGTCGATTAGTGAATTGTCCGTTTTCGGTTCTCGAGAGGGCGCCGTGGCCGTTATTTTCCAGGCTTGCGCCCGCCAGGTTTGGGCCCGAGGTCGTTTTCACTAAACCACGTTTTACTAAAGGGAGGTCTGTCCATCCCCAAGTTGTCTCCCACTCGCATGTTCAGAGTCGTTCGTTCTCGCA